TCCAAAATGACATTTCCCTTACATTCAACTTCCAAAAGTGCATTCATCTTTGCCATGTTACATTCATTTCGTTGACTGGTGCTATACGCTGTATTAACAAAAACATTAATGGCATTCATAAAAACACTTACACTGACAAGCTACGCAATATCACATTCATAATCGAATGTGACTCATCTGCGATTATGAACGCGATATAGCAGTGATCTATGGCTCTGTGTAATAAATGCCGCTCCATCTGAAAGCACGTGATGGAGATTTACTATTCACAGAACAGGCTTTACTGACGATATGCTTATGACAATCACATAACACACGATTTATCGTGCAGCCCTAAGTTTGTTTGTTGATCACAAAAAAAGGGAGAAAACATGACAGAATAACTCGGCGGATATCGCATTTTGCGTAAAATTCAAAATTTACTTTTCAATACTGACCAGATACAATACTGATTTTGGCGGAAATTAAATGTTTAAAAAAAAATGCCGTTTATCGTGTTTTGGAACCAAACTCTTCATATATAAAAAGTTATATATATATATATATATATATATATATATGTGGAATGGTGTGCTGTGATTGGTTGAGCGGATATATCGCATTCTGCAGAGAAGGGAGACTGGCATTTGTCGCGGTTTGGAAAGAAAGGGAGAAAACATTATAACTCGGCCGATATCGCATTTTGCGTAAAATTCAAAATTTACTTTTCAATACTGACCAGATACAATACTGATTTTGGCGGAAATTAAATGTTTAAAAAAAAATGCCGTTTATCGTGTTTTGGAACCAAACTCTTCATATATAAAAAGTTATATATATATATATATATATATATATATATACTGTGTATATATATATATATATATGTGTATATTTTTCTGAAATAATTCTCTAGTGTTCACAAAGGCTGCATTTATTTGATCAAAAATACAGTAATATTGTAAAATATTATTACAATTTTATTACCATTATTAACATTGAAACATTCTATTTTAATATTTTAAAATGTGATTTTTCAGCATCCATTACTCCAGGCTAACTCCTGATTTGGGGTTCAGGAAACATTTCTTATTATTATCATCAATATTTTTGTGCTGCTTAATTTTTTTTGTGAAACCTTTTTTTTTCAGGATTCTTTGATGAAATGGAAATTTTTTATTACATTATAAGTGTACTTACCAGGGTCGGAAATTAACAGGGGCTTGTGGCAAAAATGCCACCAAAATGAACAAAAATGCCCCACAAATTCAAGATAAAGGGGCAAAAATTGCCCCTGCACAATGAAACAATCAATTACGGCTGTTGCAATTAAAATTAAATGTGAAAATGAATGAAAAGTGTCTATTCGTGGAATTACATTTTGATTCCCTCACACTGCATCACATTGCTCTTTGCGCATAGTTTTTTTTTTTGCAGCGTTGAGCCTTATAACCAGTCAAAAGCGTTTTCGTTCAGCTTACGAATGCATATATTTGGATTCTTAGGATTCTTGAATTCACTCATCATAGACAACATCGTGCAGATACAATGTAAATAAAAGATCCATTTTGAGTTTTTGCATAACTTGCGCTTGACTAGACTAATGTCATGGACCGACATGTTTGTCTGTGAAGCTAGAGACTGAATATATGATGAGCCGTTTTCCCAAAACGCAGACACAAAACACACAAAAAAGTTTTATGTATTCTACTAATTGACATTAATAATCATTATTACAAGAGCAATAATCGACAATAACGTTTTTTTTTTGTCATAATATTGTAGCCATATTAGCTCCTATTTCTAAATGTGTAATTTAGATACAGGGTTAAAGAGTCAATTGTTATTGGCAACAGTTTAAAGTATTTTGATTGATTGAAGTAATTGGTTAAATTCAAGTATTTGACATTAAAGAAAACACAGATACAATTATTAAGGTAGTGATAAAAATTGCCCTCAAAATGTATCGATTTCCAGGGGCCAAAAATTGCCCCTTAATGGAAAAGTTAATTTGTACTTGTTTTTTGTTTTTGTTTTTTTTGGCTAAATAAAAGTGTTAATTTCAACCCCCCATTAAAAAAAAAATATATGACCCTAATCTTTTGAACGGTAGTATAAATACACTAAACTTTACAATAAACATGTTTCAGAACATAGCTTGAAAATACTTGGATGATTTGTTTTACAACATAAACTGCAAACACTCACATCCCAAATGTTCTTTTGTAGTTATTTTACAACATAAACTGCAAACACTCACATCCCAAATGTTTTTTTGTAGTTACTAGTGTTGTCACGGTTCCAAA